AACAAACCCTCATATTCCCTTCTGGCATATATTGCAATACCAATAAATAAATGTCAGTTGGAGGATCTTGGGAAAGTCCATAGCAAGAAACTATGTTATTAAATCAATCATCGATTATTTTGTGTTTGGCGGTTTCATCGAGAAAGTCAGTATTATTTTGGGAGCTATTAAGGACTTTAAGAACGACTGTTTTATGATTGGTTTCTTGTTCAATTTCTTTGCTTATTAACTCAATTTCTTTTTTCGGTTTAATTATCTGTCGCTCCAGGCCTGCTACTTTTTTTTCTTCAAAGCTAATGCATTCTTTTATTTTTTCTATTTTATTAGTTATTTTCTTAGCTTTAGACAAATAAGCAACTATTTTGCTTTCTACTTCTTTTCTTTTATCGTAATTAGTTAGCTCACGTCAGAGACATAAAGATCGCAGTTCTGAGTTAATAATTTGCAATTCTTTTTCTTTTTTTTGGAGAAGTTGAGAATTATGGGGTTTTTTGTTTAATATTTTTTCTTGTTCTTGGGAAAGTTCACTAATTTCCTGTTTTAGTATTTTTTCTTTGTCTTGTAATTTTCGAATTAGCTGGTTATTAATTTTTTTTCTTTGCCATTGTTTATTTTTGGCGTCTCAGTAGCAAATATTTCCTTCTTTCCATTTAGCCTTGTAAACTTTACCAAATCCACCTTCGGCTAGATACTCAATATCAGTAAATTGTTCATGAGGAATTCATTCAATAAACTTATTAGCCTCCGTGGCTTCTAGTTGGTATTTTTGGATGAAATGGTCGATTTGGGGATTTTTGCTGGTTCATTGATTAGAAAAAAAAACACTCTAAGATTCTGTCATATCAATTTCTCTCGTGATATCACTTAAAGCGTTTAGAATTACATTCTTGACACCATTGCTCTCCGGTATTGGGTTGCTCGCATTCAGGACACAGGTCATATTTTTTAAATCTTTCACTAAGAATTTGGTAGTCTTCTTGGTAATTAGTGAACCATGTAGGGGCCTCTTTTTTAGCATCTCTCAGTCAAGCCACAAATTCATAATCATCTATTTTGGCTCCAGCAGTTACTCATTCTAAAATTTGGGAAACGGCAAAATTTTGATTTCTTCACTCCTGAGCATAATTATAATCTTTTGGTTGAAATCCAGAATTTATTCATGGTTTGGCTTCTTGGAAAGTAAATTTTTGTTCTTCCCATTTTCGAGGATAATCATAATCTTCTAGTTGAAAGCCAGCATCTATTCACTGCTTTGCTTGTTCGGTTGTAAAATTTCTACTTGCTCATTGTTTAGCTAATTCGGCGTCATTAGGTTTAAAGCTTGCTTTTATTCATTCTATGATTTGAGAGGCGGTGAATTCATGCTCTTTTCATTGGTTAGCATGATTATAATCGCTAGTCTTGAAACCTGCTTCTACTAATTGTTTTACCTTTTCAAGTTCAAATCCGTCTTCTTTTCATTTTACAGCATCAATCCAATCGCTTGGTTTAAATCCTAATTCTATTCATTCTTTAATTTCTTCTAGGGCAAAGCTATGATTTTTTCATTGCTCAATTTGTTCGTAGCCTCTTTTTTTGTTAAAGCCAATTACAACTCATTGGCTAAGATTTTCGTAGTCAATCCCGTTTGCTACTCATTTTCGAGCATGATTATAATCATTTAGCTGAAAACCAGCATTTATTCATTCTAAAATTTGATTAGTAGAAAATCCTTCTTTTTTTCATTGTTCAGCAATTTTATAATCTTTTAATTTGAAGCCAATAACAATTAATTGTTTTACTTCTTCAGCAGTAAAATCTATTTTAACTCACTCTTCAGCATCATTGTAATCATCAGGTTTGAAGCCTAATGCTATTCATTGTTGGATTTGATGCACGCTAAATTTCTTGTCTTTTCAGTTTCTAGCTTGATATGGGTCATTCATCTTAAAACCAATTTCTATTAACTCTTTAGTTTGTTCTTTGCTAAATTTTTGCCTTTCTCAAGCTTTTCTTAATTGATAATTAAAGTCTGGATGAATGTCTTGTCAAACTTCTTTTTTAATTATTTCTTCAAGAGGAGTGTTTTGTTGATGCTTTTTCTTGAATTGATCAGCAACTTCATAATCACTTAACGTAAACAACCCAGCAGTTATTCATTGGGGAATTTCCTGCTCAGAGAAATTCAGTTTTCTTCATTGCTTATAGTCTTGGAGTTTTTGGAGGAAGTTTTTTATTTTTCTTATTTTTCCATAACTATCTGTTTCTACTTCTCCTTCTTCGTTGGTAAATAAATTATAAATAGATCTTACTTTAGCATCTTTTTTTTCATGTACTGAACAAAAAAATTTCTCCAAACTGACTGGTAAATACTCTAAGCCACTGTCGATATCAGTATTGTCAATATCAAGTTCCTTTAATTTCCCCATATCCTTCAAATATTCCAAAGAACCAGAGAGTTTATTGTTGTATAATCAAAGTTCTTCTAAATTAACTGCTTCTGCTAAAAAAGATAAGTCTTGGCGGAAGTCGTTATTGTGTAATCATAATGTTTTTAAACTACTTCCATCCAGGGGTAAAATAAGATTGTTTAGTTGGTTATTTCCACACCGAAAATTAACTAAATTAGAACAATTGCTTACATCTAAATTGGTGAGTTGATTATCAGAACATCTAATTTCCCTTAACTTAGTACAATTATTTAAATTCAGGGAAGTTAGTTCATTATCATAACAAACCAATTCCTCTAAATTAACAAAATCACTTAAATCTAAGGTTCTGGTGAGGTTTTTTTTGATTAATATCTAACGTAGTTATTTCTTTTCTTCGATCCTTGGGATAGTTTTTATCTAATCATTTTTGAGCATCAACCATTATTCTTTCCCTCCTTTTTTAGTAAAGTATCATACTAGCCCTGTTACTAGGGCTATTATTCCAATTCCTCCTAATATTCAGGGAAAATAATTAGTTTTATTTGATTGTTCTTGATTACTATTTATTTGCTGAGAATTATTTAAACTAGGCTGCTTATTTGCTTTTTCTTCTAAGGCTTTTAGTTTTTGTTTTTGGGAATTTAGATTAGATTGATAAGCAGGATTATTTTGCGGATTAGCTTCTAATTGCTTAATATCTTGCTGTAATTGTTGTATTTCTTGGTTAATTGAATCACTGTCGGCTGAATGCTTGGCTCAGGGCGTATGTTCTGTTCTGTTCTGTTCTGTTCTGTTCTGTTCTGTTCTGTTCTCGTTTGAGTTCCTCGTAGTCAAGGTTACGGGATTTTTCAGCTTCCTCTCTTTCTCGAATTTGTTTAATTTCTTCTATTTTTTGCTCAACATAATTTTCTAATTTTCCTTCATCTTGCATTGCTTCTAATTCTTCGTAGGTAGGAAAATTAGGAACTTCTAAGTTTTTTCTTTCTAGAATTAAGCGATTATGAGCTAAGATTACTTGATTTTTTTTAAAAAGGTGAGTGTTACAACATTCTTGAGAACAGTATTTATAATTTATCTTTTTTCTTTCATCATAAGCTCACCAGTATTTACCTTGAAAAGCTTCATCGCAATTAGTACAAATTATGCTCTCTTTTTCTTCTCTCTTTGGAGAAGAGACTGTCTGACTACTATTGTTCAACTTGTTTAATTCTTCTAGATACTTATTTAAGCAAGATTGATTGCAAAAGACGGTTTTAATACCGGTAATTGAATTTGTTTCATAAACATAAGGATTAGTTAACTTATCTTTTTTACACTTTTCATAAGTGCACTGAGTGGCTTTTAGTTTTTTAAAAGCTTCGTTTTTGATTTCATATAATTCTCTTACTGTTTTATCGTAATCGAGAATATCACTGCCGCTTACTTCCCGTAATTCAAAATTATTGAGAATCGCTTCGAAATAGCTTAAAATTATGTTCTCTGATCAGCTCTCTCAGTTTATTTTACCAAAATAGAGGTTGCTATCAAAATCCTCTTTGCTCTTTATGCTTGATTTTTCCTCTTCTAGTTCAGCAAGCAATAGTTCTTTTTTATCAATGCCAGTTTCTCCATAAATTTCCTCTATAAAACCACCCTTCTGGTTAAGGAATGTTTTTAATTCTTCAAATCATTGGTTTACGGAGTATTCTTCTT